TGAAGTTCAACAGTCATTTACGTCACTAGGGTATGAGGTGGGTGTAGTTCAACAGTCATTTACGTCACTAGGGAATGAGGTGGGTATAGTTCAACAGTCATTTACGTCACTAGGGTATGAGGTGGGTGTAGTTCAACAGTCATTTACGTCACTAGGGTATGAGGTGGGTGTAGTTCAACAGTCATTTACGTCACTAGGGTATGAGGTGGGTGTAGTTCAACAGTCATTTACGTCACTAGGGTATGAGGTGGGTGTAGTTCAACAATTGTTTACGTCACTAGGGTATGAGGTGGGTGTAGTTCAACAATTGTTTACGTCACTAGAGTATGAGGTGGGTGTAGTTCAACAATTGTTTACACGTCACTAGGGTATGAGGTGGGTATAGCATATATTAGTGATTTTAAGAGAATGTTTAATATAGGGCTCACCTAATAAATATAATGATAAAAGCTATAGTTACCTGGAATACATGTGCTACCAGTTGCTCGATCTTGTCCATAACCTGGAGGACAGTGACAAGTGAAACCACTAGAGGCTGTAGGAGATAACAGACACAAGTGGCTGCAAGGTGACGATTTGCAAGGATTGACGGCTAGAAGAAAAATTAAAACTATGTGAACAACTAGTATTACAGATGATTAGTGCATATAAAGGTTCTTTATATTTTCACCCTCTTCCAGAGGATAAAGGTAATTTCTTTATATATACTGGCAAAGTATAAATAAGTTAACTTTCATTAGTAACTGATATGGAAATATCTATCTAGCTATGTATCCAATTTTGGCATTTAAACAGTTGCCAAACTAAATAACAATTTGACAAATACTTTTTCATAACTGTCAGCTAAACATTTTCATTTGGCAAACTAGAATAGTTTATTCCAAATAAAAAAAAAAACATCAAATAATTTACATATTTTTACTAGTTACCTTTAAGATATACTTACAATGAATTCCTATCATGTTTGTTAATTGTAACCAGCACAAATTAATTCAACTAATCTTTTAATGTTTCTAATTACAAACATTACATTTTGAGAATTTAAGAGAATTAGCATAAATTTATAAAAGAAATGCAGGAATGTTTAATTGAATCTTACAAAGTGGTTGCAACACTGGGTGGTTGGCATGTATACCAAGAGGCTGACTGACCAGGTGAGAGACAACTGTCTGATTAACACCATGAAATTTGTTGCAGGAAAGTACACGATTGAGTTGACGATCAGTCCAGTAAAGTGTGTCTTCGAACACAGTAAGGGAGTGGGGATGAAGCAAGTACTGAAAAATCACAAAACATAAATTTGATGCTTATCTTTTTAACCCTTTCTGGAATTTACAAAAAAAATTCATAAAACTTTATTCAGTATGTCTATCAGAACAAAACTGACAAAGATTGACCAATGACCTCATCTTTCTCAAAATTAGTCACCATTACCTTTATCAAGCACAACAGTATGACATTTTGGTAACAATAATTATGATTTAGATCAATACACAACAAACGGTTGTAGTTTCTTTAATAATAAGTTCTTGCATTGTTATTTTGTTTGAATACAATAAGGAAAACTCAAAAGTACATTTAATTGCCACAAAAAAAAGAAAAAAAAAGACTTGTATCATCTGAATAATATGCATTGCAAACTAATTTTACAGCTGTAATTCACAGCTGAATAAATAAAGCACACGAACATAAGAACTACCCAAAAACATGTAAATTTCGTTGGGAAAAATAATACGAGCTTAGCAGCCAGCAAAAACAAAAAAAGTTTAGACAATATTTTAAATAACCATTATATAATTCTTAAATACAAATTCTATAAATTTTGTGATAAAAAATTGTTTGTATAGAAAGAATTAAATATTTCATTATTAATCTGTCTTATTTTTCAAGACATATGATCTTGAATGTACAAATACATCTTGTTGTAAGTTAAAAAAATAAACTTGACTTTAAAAAAACGTTTTTCTTTCAACATCTTGAAGCATAACAAGATTTATGTCTCTGCAAATATAAAAGAAATAAAAATATTAAAATTAACAAATAAAATACTGAATATCATTTTCCTTGAGATTTTGTTAAATTAAATAAAAACCCTGTAATGTATTTCTGACATACTTAACTAAAATTCAATATCACTCTACTTTGAGAATGATTCAACTAACATGCAGTATGTAAATCATGCTAACCTTAAACGATTATGTAACAACACTTTAATGAAAAGTTTGGTGTAAAACATTCAATTAATAAAATGTAATTACTTACATGATTATGGGCAATAACTTGTTGCCGCCCGGAACCATCATAATTGCAGAAATCAATGTAGTCTAGTTTGCTGTCAGCAAAATACACCCGTTTGTTAGGAATGTCTAGGGTCAAGCCATTGGGCCAAAATATCTTGGTATTTATAATAACATGTCTCTTGGAGCCATCTAATCCAGAACTTTCAATACGAGGGTTCTCCCCCCAATCAGACCAGAACATCAGTCTAATCCTGTTGAAGAAAAAAGTACTTTGACAAATACTTCATACCATATATTATTTCTACATTTTCTAACTACATGTTACATCTGAATCTTTTAACATGTCTCAACTTGTTCATGTATGACCAAATAAAATGAATATGAGAAATGAGCACTTAATTACTGTAAATAAGTGTGCATTGAAAAATCTGGCATCACGTGATACAGCCAGGTAAGAACAGGTTAAAATACCAAGCACAAAAAAATAAAAGAAGTACAAGAAATCCTAAGTTTATAAAATGCAATCACAAAGAGAAACTATACAGTTTTTGAAATTATCATTCTCATTACTGTATACTAAAGGTATTGTGTTTGCCAGTACATCTACAATCTTAGACATAATAAATGATATAAAAGATAGTCTATTGAGTAACTACACATTGTATAAAATGCCAAGAAATTCTCATGGAATTGTGTTGTTTTTACTCAATTTAAACTCCTGCAATTCTTATTTCTGCAGACATTAAAAATTCTTCTAAATTCCATGAAGTAAATTATTTATTTATTTCATACTAATGGAAATATAACAGAGAAAGTACATAAAGTTTAAAAAAAATCTGACTGAAACATCATTTCATGAAAATTCAATGCAAACAAAGAAAGAATATTTACATAATAATAATAATATTCTTTAACATAAAGACATTTATGAAATCTTATATTGCATACAGTTTTTGAAATTAAATAATGTAATATAAAAAAGTTTTGTTAAATCTTAAACCTTTACAGTGGTCAAAAAGCAGTCCTATGAATTATGTAATTAAGAAAGAAACACTAATAATAAAATTTAATCTTGACAGCTTTAGATGATGACTAATATAAAGAAGGTTTCAATCTTTCTTTGTTAGAATGTGCATCCAGCCTTTAAAGTGAGAACATTTCATGTTCATACCCTTCTCTGGGGTCCAAGGAAAGTCCTCGCGGTTGGGTAATGTTCTCCGTCAACAATACTATGTGATTTTCTCCATCTAAAGTTGCAACTTCCATTGTCTTTAACTTAGAGTCTACCCAGTACAGGTTCCTACCTACCCAGTCTACGGCCAGTCCTTCAACCAAGTCCAAACCACTACCAAGAACCTAAATAATTAGGAATAAAAGTTTATTAAGACTTTTTTTTTCCTTTTAAGAAGGAATAACAAAAATCATCTTACAAATGCTCCAAGTTTCAGAAACATTACAATTGTATGGTCTCCTACAGAAAGGGTCTTTCTATGCTTCAACATTAGATATTCATTAAAATATATATTTTGATATTTCACTTTGTTTATCTGAGGCAGTTCTTCTGTGCTTGCTAGGTTTGTAACAAACTGATTCTCAAAAAAATTTTCAGTCTATAATCCTCTACTGTTCAACAAGATAGATATTTGTTAAAATCTATTGTCTGGATAGCATTATAAAAATTATGATACATTACATTACCTGTAAGCAAGATAGTCTATAATTTAATGGCATCCATGTCTCAAAATGATGTAATCAAAGAAGGTGTGATCTCTTCACGTAGTGAGACAAGGACACCAAATGGCATATCAATGAGGTGAGAAACTTTTTTCTATTACCTTTTGTGATAGTTTAGTGAAAAAAAACAACATTGTTATGCTTATTTGTGTTATGAAAATAAAACATTTAAGCTGACAGTTTTTTTAACTACTGTAATTCAACAGTTTTACCTCAAGGCAACAAAATATGAAAATTAAAGGGGGGGATTTTTAAAAGATTGTCTTTAGTATGCCTAAAATGATAAAATGGCAGATTAAAATAAACAAAATGAAAACCTTTTACTCTTCTCAGAAACAAATGTCATTCAGTAGAGTTAACCTTTTTGAGATGGGTCACGGGTGAAAGACCAGGTTATGTCATTTGTTGACTCGCATTCAAAATCTTATTGAACTACTGTTTCATGAACTTATGTCAAAAAGTTTAGTGTCAAACTGTAGATTATAATTCAAATTTTAGTACTATGCATTACTCAATTTAAAAGTAAATATTAAAAAACACAGATAAGTGTCATGTGGTATGTTGAATGCAGCAGTGGTTCAAATTAGATGATTGTGAAGTAAAAATATTATGTCTATAGTTTTGAACAAATTAGAAATGCAGATTACCGATATTGACAAGCTAGAATATAAAATAATAATGTCTTATCAAGCACAAAATGGTTACGAGGTCGGTCCCAGGTACCGAGCCCACGCTGAAAAAGTTAAATCATTATAGTGGTGACTTTAAAACTCCAAAACAATATTTCATATTTTTCAAAATATAATTTATTTCTTGAGATTCAAATGTTCACCCATTTTAAACTTTATATTTCTATGATCTTCTTTTTTCTGACAATTACTTATATACTGAGCAAGATTTGACACAGTGGTACTAATGAGAAAAAAAAAAAGTTATAAAACAAAATACGTACAAGTGTAAAAAGTAAAAAAGTTTATAATTAATATGTGTCATATTTCCTCATAATAACTGTACAATAAATATTTTAATGCTTCTCAGAGAAAAGATCAAGAAGACTTTTTGCCTTAATTGTCCTGGCTCAACATTTTTATACTGTCGTTACGTGTCTAGAACAAGCCCGTCATAATAAAACCACCCTTTTTCACATAGCAAAATATTCTATTATAACATTTATCAATCACTTACCACTTCTGGTTCACCACCCTTCTTCATACGATATATCTTCTTCAGTGTCATATCTGACCAGTAGATGGTTCCTGATGCCATATCAGATGCTGTTGCAACAACATTTTCAACTTGAATAGGTATTCGCTCAAGGTTTGTGGTGTTTAAATTTGCCATCAGAATAGAACGACGGTTAGATATAACCAGAAAGGCATCAGTCCAGTCTATTAAAATAATTACTGTTATTACAGCCACTTGTAACAGTAAGCAATATTTTATAATTTTGTCACTCATTCCAAACTTCAAAAATGTACCTATAGAAAAGTTGTAAATGCTAGTTGAAAATTAATGGCTAATTTAAAAAACTTCAAAGATTATTCTAATATAGTAATTCAAAATACTGGTGATAAAAATAGAAGCCTTTTATAATTTTTTTTCTTTCTACTTCATATTCTTTTTATATACTTGAAATTTTTCCTTCTAGTAAAACAGATACAAATTCATACACTCAAGCAAAACAAAACTGGAACCCCTATAAATATTTCACTAGATCTCTTAAACCTGAATGAATTCTTGATTAATTTTACTTCTTTTGTGTTTGCATATTTAAGAATTTTGCACACAGCTAACATTTGCCTGATTGATAATGAGATCTGACCAATCTTATAACACACCCATAGAGCACATTTAGGCATCAGCAGGTCACAAACCATGAATTAACAAGCATACCAACCACTAAAACATACCTGGCCCTTTCTACATTTAAATCTATATATTTGATTGACCCCATTTAACTTATCAAGAAAATGTGGACTCAGGAGAAAAAAAAAAAAGAGGATTAAATGAAGAATCTCTTAATTGGGCCTTAGCAAGTTTTACTTGCTAGATGTCAAACAAATTTAAAAGTTTAATAGGAGAAATCTAGGTAGAGAATATTTAAGACAGTTATTACTTTATTGTTGTTTTTTAAATTACTTAAAGTTGGCTAAAAATAATTTTTTTTTTAATCTATAAGATATTTTTCCATTCATGTCAAATATATGTAAATCGTGTCGACTGTATCAAAATTAGAAATTTATGAATATAACAAATTGATAAATATTTCATTAATGCAGTTGGAATATTAATATTCTTAAAGTTATTGTTGAATGTAATAAGTGACACTATATTTTTCTCATCCCAAAATATTATATAATAGCATTGGAAGCAAGTTTCATACCAGATGTACCATTTTAAATACAGAAATAAACACTTACTAACAGCTTTACAGGTGCGGTGATTACCAGTAAGCTTGTAGCCTTCTTGACAAATACATTTGTAGGATCCTTTTGTGTTAATACAATCTTGACTACAGCGGCCAGGTGTGATACATTCATCTAGATCTAAACAATAAACAGAATAGCAAGGGTTTGTCAATGTACACAAACAAAGTAAAGTTTTACCTCACACTGTACCTTATGAAAAAAAATATTCTTACTATTGGTAGAAATGACAGTGTCACTAAACCTTTCATACTTATCTATAAAAATATCATCGGATCTGATACTTATGTACAGAAGAGTCTCCAACACTATCTGCAGAGTGTCATTCAGTAAGAACAGTAAAAGAATGTACAAATTATACCACAGAACTATTGATATATACTAATAATTTATCAATAACAACAGGAACTTTTCCAAAGGAGTTCAAAATGCTGTAGTAATTCTAATATACAAAAAAGGTGAAAATAATAATTATAGACCTATTTCACTTATCAGTATTTTTTTACAATATTAGGATATAGTGAAATGCAGGTTGACTAAATTTTTTAAAGACAATTTTTTTCTCTAAAAATCAATATGGATTTAGGGAAAAGTTAAATACTAAAGAGGCACTATTAAACTTCACATAGAATATTTACGAGTTCTTAGATAATAATAAGAAACCAACAATGATTGTACTTTTCAGACAATAACATCAAATATTACATAAAATCAAAATTCTAGGGATAAGAAGCATAGCATTAAAAATGGGTTAGCTCTTATTTATACAATAACAGACTGCAAAAATAAAAAAAGTACTTTAGTAATGCAAATATAACTAAGTATGGTGTTCCACAGGGTTCTCAACTTTGACCTCCCTTTTTTTTACTTTTATGATATACATAAACAATTTATGTGATATAAACATAATAAATTTTAAAATTACTATGTTTGCTGATGATACAACATTAACATTTAGCTCTGTTCAAGTAGAAATAATGTTCCCTCTAATTTTTTCATTCCATGTGCGGAATGAATATTTTCATGTGCACCAGTATCAAGGCAATGTGCAGATGTGTGCTAACTTTTGTCTTGGCTGGAATAACTAAGTGCATGACATTTGATTGGTTGTTGTGCAGCCGCACAACCTAGAGGGGACACTGAATAGAAGATTTAAAATTATTTGCAAACAGTCAGAAATTAATATAGCTAAAACAAAATACATATTTTTTAATCAAAAAATAAAAGAATTGTGAATGAAAGTTATTTTAAGTTGTGTATTCATAATAATGGGTGGATATGACAAAATATTTTGGCTTAAAAAATGTTTAAAATTCAAGTTAGAAACAGCACATTAAAGATTTGGCAAAAATTAAAATCTATTATTTGAAAAATTGTTAAGCATCTATATGTTAAAAATTATTTATAATTGATACAATCAGTCTGATACTTATTTGTACAAGTAGTAGCATCATATATTTCTCATACTTATCTGCAAATATTGCAGTATAATACAGTTTTTGATATACATGAAAGTTGTATCAAAGTCTATAATAACAAGTAGTCATATTATTATACACCATGTGTAGCGTTTTCAGTAAATGTGTTGTATTTACCTATACAAGTAGTAGTGTCATTCAACACCTCCCCCTGTGGACAAAGACAGATTGGCCCTAGAGGAGTCTGAGTGCAGTTATGGCTACATCCATTATTATCTGTCTTACATTGGTCAAGACCTGAAAGAGTAGATGCAAATTTTTAGGAATTATAATGTATTAAAGTTAAGTAATTTGACTTACAGTATTTGACACAGAAGATAAATGTTACATAGATTATAATGTATTTAATTAGAAAATTAAAAATGTTTAAATTATTAATAATTGAAGAACAAAATAATATCTACTTGTCTCAAACATAAGACCTTGAAAACATCACGTGAAATTATGTTATTTTAGAGTCAACACTCTTGCGTGATATAATCATCGTGAATAACTTCTCATGAACAAAACTAGTACCCCTGTTTATTACCCAAACCAAGCCACTCTGATCTTTACATTCTATAAACATCAGTTCCCTTTAAGTATTAATATAGCATAAAAAACAAATATAAAAGCATTTATAACTTCAAGAAGATAAAGCAGTTACAAATAATTGATTTACTTACTACATGTGGGGCCTTCATCAGCACCATTAGGGCAATCTATTTCGCCATTACAAACCTGGGAAATGTTAATACACCTCTCAGCGATGTTTGGACACTGCCATTGACCATATGGACAAACAAAAGATGCAGGACCTAAAGAATTTGACAGAAATGTTAAAAAAGGGACAAATCAATTTCTATAGTTGAGTTTCACATAAAAAATATATAAATCATTTAAGTTCTCAAGTTACCAATGTACCGACCTAAATAATGGAAGCTGTGCTGTGAGAATCAAAAACAAGTTTTAAAATATTTACTTCTTATCAGTGGGTATGAAGAAACAATGCAAAAAATAAATAAAATACTTGTACAACAGCAAAGCAATTTTTTGAAGAAAAAAAAGTAGCAAGTAATATTCATTAAACACCTCAATTAATTGCTTCTGATAGAGCTTTCAGACCATTGATATAAGAATGTTTTCTTTACTCACCACAAGCATGCCTGTGATCTTCATCAGACCCATCACCACAATCATCATTGCCATCACAGATCCAAGACTTAAAGATACAGCGAGAGTTATTGCACCTGAAGTTGTTCATGGGGCAGTCAACCTCTCCTGCAAATAAATGAATTACCGTATAACTGAATGATCTGGCTAGCTAAAGACCATGATTATAAAGTGGAAATGCAATTTATTAGAACTGGTTAGAAAAATACTATTGTTTTTTTAAAGTACATGATGAAACCTTATTGCTGTTAATCTACTCTTACTGATGGAAATCTGTATTAGTCCAGTCAAAATTCTTTCTTCGTACTTTATGGCCAATTACATTTGTAAATACTGGTTTTTAAAGTAAAACTGTTTACTTCAAAACTTAAATTTTATACTATATTATAATAAATTCAATAATGTTTGCATTTAAAATTAAAAAGATCTTTAAGTTAAAATAGAAATGAAATCATTAATTCCAAGAACTTTTCATAAAAACAAGTTACTGTTTCCAGTATTATGGCTAATAGTTCATTAATACAACTTCTCAAAACAAAAACCTTTTTACTTGTTAATATGGATTATTATGCTTGATTTTCATTCAAGGGTACAGTAGTCATTGCTTTAAGAACACTAAGTATCCAAGCTTTGTATGTATGTAAATGCTGATGTAAACGTTTAGTTGTGAAAACAGGGTAAAATGTAGTGAATGCTAAATCTGGAAAAATAATAAGAGATTCAGTAATGATCTTTCTACCACATACTCATTTTTTGTTCTGTAAAACTCAAACACAAGGCCTTCCAATTAACAGCATAAGAAAAAAGTAAATCACACAATGGCTTTGAGTTAAGACCGAATTATTTAAGTCGGTATTACAGTATGAAATGTATTACCAGGGTTTGACATATAATCTTGTGTGATGCTTTATCAACTATTCCAAACTTTTTTTCAGAAGAGAGTGAAAAACCATAACATTATAAAGCAGTCATGAATCTGAAAATCAATTGCATTAAAACTCATTAATAAAAAGAAATATCTTTAACACTAACAAAGTTGTCAGTCTTTCACAGTAATGTGAAACCTAGTTTATGTTAAAATCATAGAAACGTAAGCTCACCACAGCTATCTGGCTCATCACTCCCATCCTCACAGTCATTATTACCATCACAATGCCAAGAATGGGGGATGCAAATTCTTGAAGTCTTGCATTGGAATAACTTTTCTGGATCACACTCATTCGGTGAAACAGATGCTATTATTGAGAGTAAAACTTAAATTTTCATACATATTAAGTAAATTATTAAATGTTTGTTATAAAGTGCATTCAAAATTAAATGTTATATCTATAGAAGTGTAAATAATGATATCAATTTATCAAATAACTTCCAGAATCATACTTTAGAAAACTGTGCTTAGGCATTACAGTTAGATTTACAATATACACATGGTATGTTAAACTATTCAAAAAGTGCCTTACTAGCAAGTGATAGTGGGTTAACCCTTAACTCAGTAGATAGACAACTCACTTGATACATGAGAGGTTGAGTTTAACAACAACTTAAAAAAATAAAAAATATATAAATGAATTGCATTGTAACAGAAAATCTCATGCCCAACTATGGTCTGTTCAGTGAATTTGAAATAAGGCCTGAGGACAGGCCTTGTTTGTGAGAAGGGAAGAATGTAGCACTTTGAGTCATTATAATGTACCTCACTAGCAAAAAGCTAGCCCACCAGCTGTTAGTTGAGCACTCAACTGGCAAGTAGGAGGTCTTAGATTTGACTCAGATAAAAGAAATAAGAAAATTTTATTACCACGTATTGTAATAAACATTACTCACGGCATCCTAGTTCATCTGAGCCATCTTGACAGTCAGACACCCCATCACAATGGTAACTCTCATGAATACACTGTTTCTGATCCCCACATTGAAACTGACTTGATGTGCAAGTAATGGGAGGACAGTTCTGTTCATCAGCTTGATCAAAACAATCATTGTCACCATCACAAACCCAGCTTTGTGGAATACAATGTCCTGATCCAGGACATGTGAACTGGTAATATGCACAGGTCTTTTCCACTGTATCAATTATAACAAAAATTTATACAATATTCAATGAAACACTTTAAAAATTACATGCTCATTAAGACAATGATGCATAGTAATGAAATCAATAAAGCTTTGTACCGTTAATGAAACCTTTTCTAAAAACAAAATGCAAGGTTTTAGAAAGTATTCAATGAGAAAACTAGCCTTGAAGTACAAATTATTGTTAACAGGAAGGGTTACTGATCTATTGAGTGAGTTACCATACTGACTAATTTTCATAGTTTTATTACGCATTTCATCAATGTCATTCTTTTAATACAAAATGATTGATTTAATATGAAATATTTATTTTAAAAATCTAAAGTTGTGATGTACATAATAATGGTTAACAACTGATTTCAACATAAAATTTAGGACAACATTCAAATGCACACTTATGAAAGAATATCATTAGTCCAAGATTCACTTCAAGAACCAATTAACTTTCTATAACAATCATCCATATCATGAATATGAAATTTTAACTACATCCTATATAACCTACCACAAAAGTCTCCTTCATCTGAGCCATCCCCGCAATCATTCTCCGAATCACACTTCCAAGATTGTGGGATACATCGACCGTTATCACAAGAAAACTCTGTCGATTCACAAGTAACATTCACTGCAAAATGAAGAAATGAAACTATACTATCACTGCATGGTTACTTCACATATGAAGTGTCTTCTCTTTTGATTTCTAACAACCACCAAAATATTTTATATAGTTTTTTTTTTTACTTAAATTCTAATAATGTAGTTTTATTTATTTATATACACACACAAAAGAAAATAATATAAATAGGAGATAACATGTAAATGAATTTACTCATACTTATTTGTGCACTTATGTTTATTCATGTACAACTTTTTTATGAATTTGTATTTTATCTTTTCCTAAAACAAACTAGTTACAAAAAAAAAAAAAACTTCAAATAATTCCAACTAATCTACTACTGTTTTATTCAAGCAGGTTCTCATTTTAGAAAAAAAGCTGAAAAATCAAGAGGGAACAAAACTTACCACAACCAGTTTCATCTGAATAATCACCACAGTCATTATCAGAATCACATTTAAATGATAATGGAATACATCGTCCACTACTGCACTGGAATTCTCTTGTACTACAGGTCGACTCTAATGACACACATTTAAGATTTGAAAAAAATTATGTTTTTGATAACTAAAAACACTGAATACAAATCTCTAACATTTTACAGTTAGTTCAACTGGCTTTTTTTTGGCATAAAAGTAACATACTGATTGAGTAATAATCATGAATCATCTTTGTTAATCATAAAAGTTATACTGTAGAAAATAGGTAACTAAATTCACTTTTTAAAACTCTTTCAAGAATAATCCCTACAAAAATGATACAGACAATGATGTTAACTACACCAAACATGACTAAATATCCTACAATTTACACCTAGTCTTTATTGCAGAGGTTTCTATTTCTCATAAGCCAATAGAACTGATCTTTATATCAAACTAGTAACAACGTTAATTACAAGAAATTGATCACATGTAATAAACTATTTTTGATTACAGTTTTACATATTAATGTAAATTTAGACACAACACTAATATGAACAAATAAAAAATTAAGTAACATGTTTCTAAAGTGGATATCAATATTTCAAAAGGCTTAATGTCAAGCAATACAGATTTTAATGATTATCAAAGACCCAGCTATTGTACTACAAACTTACTGAGTTAACTTTTGCATCTCTCAGAAGAGCTGCATAAAGAAAGAGTATCTACACATATTCCAATTTTGAAAGCAGTTGTTTTTAAAGGAACTTACGAGTGCAGTTCTGCATTTCATCAGAATTATCCAAACAGTCATCATCACCATCACAAACCCATGTATTGGGAATACAACGTTTATTATCACATGTGAAATCCCAGGAATTTGGGCAAGCTTTAACAGGAGGTTCAGCACTTGGGTCAGATGCACATTTTCTACCATCTTCATTCAATTTTTCTCCATAGGGGCAACCACAACGAACCTCAAGATCTAATGCTTCGCTGTTATTTGTTGGCACAGCAAAGCAAAACTTTTCACAGTTGCTATTGTTCGCACGGCATGGATGGCGAGCTGAAAACAGAAAAATGCTGTTCACTCCAATAAATTACAAATGAATAGGTAAGCAAAACTACAAATCCAATGTTTACTCAAGGAATTATGGTTTTCTGATCAAAATAAAGATTTAATGATAGTTATGGCACCATAACTTTTATTGTTGTTTACACAGTACATGTAACATGTACAGATGAAAATGAGGTTCTAACTTTACATGTAAATGTAATGACAGAAGGCAGGCAGCACTAAACATTTTGCTTAATTTCTTATTTTGTAATTCTGATATTCATTAAGAATGAAATCTTTCACAAAAAATGTTACAATTTAGATACAAACTATAAAATATTGTGTTGACTATGCAAAGTGTCTGTTATCTTAGATCTATCTAAGGTCGATTGTAAAAAATAATATAAAAAATTTAAAATTCACCTCTATATTTAGCAACATTATCTAAATGAAAAATATCTGCTAACCCAAAACAATTCTCAATTTCTGTAATAGTAATTTACAAACAGTTTGTGTTGCATGATAATATCTTGTTCAGTAGCAACATAGTGCTGAGAGAGAGAAGTTTAGCATAAAAAAAGAAAAAATGTTTAATTGGGTCATACAGTATTATAATCTTATCTTTCTTTTAAACAATTTATACAACAGACTAAGAGAGACATAGTACAATTTCTTACAATCTATCTTCTGGTTTTTTGTGCTGTAAACTTTAATTCCGTAAAGGCGACTTCCCTCCTCCACAGCAGTAATTATCTGCTCATCTGCCCCCGTAATTTTATTCATCTTCAAAACAGCATCCAGTCGCCAGTCTGTCACATACAACCACTCTACAAAACAATTTCAGATTATATATATTTTCAAAATAGAGATGAAAAGACAACTGTAGATATTTAGACTTTTACCACAGATTACTTGTACAATTATCTTAAAAAAACATAACAGCATTTAAAGCAACAAATAAACCATTGATCTTTAGTTGTTTACAAATTATATTTTTTCTTGTGAAAGTATGTATCCACAAGTATATTCAAAGTCTGAAAAATCATATCAAATATCTTTCATATATCAAAATGTATCATTTTAAGAAAACAATATTTTTGCTAACTTTATAAACCCTAATGTTAGCTAAATTAAAGAAAATCAGATTGAATAGCTTTATTCAGTTTAGCTTTAATTTTATTCGTCACCATCTTTTCTCATTTGTACACATTTTGAATGCTAATGAGAACAATTCTGCACAGTTTATTTTTAAGCTAACAACTACAAACTGTATATTATATTGATAATTATTTCATCTTCTTTTGATTCCCTGATAATAATCTGGCCCCATGATAACTCATGGTGTCTGAACACTCTTCATGAAAGAGTAAACTTGAAATCAAAATCACTGACAGAACACTGAATGTAGAATGATGGTAACCCTCCAGAAAACATTATCAATATGAAATATCTCTAAACAAACCTTGACTGCTTTTTAAAACCCTTAGAAAGGTATAGAAAATGATTATTTTGAGTTTCACTCACCATTGTGGATAACTAGTGAAAAAGGATGTTTGATTCTTGGAGAATTTATTGTTTGGACATCTGTGCCATCTAGATTAGCATGCTGGACATGATCAAGTAAAGCATCACACCAATAGAGACGATCTTTCAAGTAGTCAATACTCAAACCATTGGGCCAGCCTAGGAGAACACCACGGAACACCATGGAGTTTGTTCCATCTAAAAATGCTCTGCTAATGTTTGCTGGACGATCCCATTCAGAGTAAAAAAGATAGCTGTAGGGATTTTTTAAAGATTTTTTTTTATTAACAAAGGCAATATTTTTGAGACCATAAATAACCATATCAAAAAGATTAGTCCTGGGAAAAATATATGATAAATCCAATGTGAGAAAATGAAACAGATAAATACTCTCTTCCAGCCAACTGATATAACTACACTACTAACTGTAAGCTAAACCTTGCTTTGAAATACATTATACAGTTACTTATTTAATATAAACAAATACCAACCCCCTATTAGGATGAACCACAATTGCACGAGGACGTTTCAAGTTACTGATCAATGTTCTCCTGTTTTGAAAGTTGTTCACACTGATCACATTCAAAGTTCCTTTTCTGCTGTCAATATAGTAAAGATTGTTGGACACCCAGTCTAGAGCAAGTCCTTCCACACCTTCATTCTGAGATGCAAGCACATTCTCTTTTCCTGATGATATTACAAGCATGCAGCAGTTAACCTCTAGCATTCAAACCTTATACAATCTGTAATCTCTGGCATCCTAACTTAACGTTTTAAATATTAATTTGTCCTTCATTACGTATATTTAACAATCTACTAAATATTATTTGTTCAACAAAAACAATAGGTCTTGTCAATCCTTTCATGTCTGAACACTTCAACTCTCATGAGATATTTTTAAAGTGTTAAAAAATTTTTTTATAAATAAGGTTTTCAAAGAGTTCAATTTCAAGATAAAAATGTTTAAGAAATTTAAATGATTAATAATATATTTAATAATTTGAATGCAAGTTATAAAGGTGCATTTAATAATTAATAATGTGTGTGTGTATTTCAATGGAGCTACAGTAAAGAAATGCTTTTCTCCAATGTTTATGATACCTAATCTAGAATAAATCTGATAGAAATCAGCACAAACAGTATTTCCAAAGCCATCTTGAGAACACTGATTGTAACACATGATAACATGTGGATAAATTTCAGCAAATAATTAAAAATATGGCAAGAAAAGGTTTGCTCAAATGAACAAGCAAATACTTTTTGAAACACGGAGGGCACTCAAGTTATCTCCAATAAATCACAGAAAGGGTTAAAAAATCTTCTGACAATTAAATTGTTCAACTTAAAGAGGATTGGACAAGCTATAAAAGAGACATAAAAACCAAAGGTTTGTAAGCTGTTTTTAAACTCCATATTATGACAGAGTAACCCAAATTGCATGGTTATTCTTAAGACAAATGAAGACTCACTATCAGTATACTGTTACTTGTTACATAGTTATAAAACAAACAATGCCACATAAAATGTCACATCATAGCTTTCTTTGACAGTTGCAAGCCTATCACACCACACTACCTTCATTGTTTACCTTTAAAAGAAAATCTGTAAATTAACCTCTCTCTCAGTTAGTTATTTCCCAAGATAAATTTCTTTTTAGGTAGATTGTGCTACAATAAACCAAAAATAGCATTTCTGGGCACAAAGAAGGGTAAAATCTTTATTAGATATTTCAGCTGACAAGTTTGGTAATATAGTTATCATCATCAGAGCTAGTAATTGAAATATCTAATAAAAATTTTATCTTTCAATATGCCAAAAAAACGTTATTTTTTTGTTACTTATGCTTACTAATCCAAACATTATTTACTGAGAATTTAGACAATAGATAAATGAATGCGTGTCTAAAAGGTTACATTATCAATTTTTGCAAACTCAGATATGAATTCTGCATACATCAGGTACACATTAAGTCTTAAATCAGCATGGTATCAGATCATAAAAAAATCCCACTATATTAATTCTACTGTTTTTTTGTTATTTGTTTTTTCACCTGTTCCATCAGTGTTGATTCGATAAATTACATCTAGAATCACATCAGAGTAATAGATGTAGTTGTGACGAGCATCAAAGTCAAGTCCAACGTAGCGGGCAGATTTGCTAACTATTGGTACTATGACATCAGTAAAACCCTCATCCACAGGGTTAAGAATGGATCCCCTTACAAACTTTTGCTGAGAGTACAAAAGAAATTCTTCCACATCTAAGTAAGAAAAACATTTTTTACGTGATAAAGCTAGAAGAAGAATACAAAATTAAGTCATTTAGAGAATAAAAATAGCTAATTTTTGTAATTGCTTGATAACAGTAAAACATGAAAAAAAAAAGTGAACATAAATTAGTCTTTGTGATACAGAAAAAGTGGGATACTTTTGGAATTGTACATAATAATGTAAATTTACCACAGAAAAATCAACTTCAGGCTCTGGTAACATATTTTACAATATTAATATTAGAAGATCTAAAATCCAATATACACAGCCCAAATAAACAAGAGAAACTATAACATTTATTTAATGAATTACAAATAGGCTTATACCAGTACAGCATGGCATAGTTCCAGAATAACAACTGCTGGTACCCAGTTCAGTCTTGTCATACAATAAAAGCGATTAAAAACCACTATAATTAAATAGAATCTAACACCTTCTGTTATCTTAACTGTTTATTTTGACAATATCAACTGACAGTGACTTCTCTAATAGTTGTTTGACTGCACTTCACTATAGGCTTAAAAACAAATTTCCTGATAAACTCTGGTTCATTGTTTATCTTATTGAAAATGATGTAAAATACACAAGTAAGCTGTAGTGTAATATACTAAACATTTATACAAAAAATAGATAACAGTAGTACAAATGATTCCAAGGTGTTCTTGGTAGGATCACTTTAAAATAACACTTGAGATCAAAATTTGTAACAATAGATATTAAAATGTCTTTAAAAGATCTTGCCTCTAAGAAACTTTATAACAGAGATTCTTAAACTGTGGTAGTGTCAGTGGTATACAGAAAAAGTAATGAAAAAATTATAAAATTTGTAATAAGCCTAATTTGAGCATCTAGTGTACATATACACACTACTCTCCTCACATGTAAAAAACTTGCCCTTCCCCATGTATTGACTTGCTAGTGTGTTTCTCCCTTCAGGTTGACAAAGATTGCACCACATACTTCCCAATTGTGCCAGAAAAACAATTATGTCCTTCCAATTAATGTACAAGTGTTTAAAATATTAATTTTTGCTAATAAAAATTAGGCTTGTGTTCATAGTTCAAAAAAACATTAAACAAAACAAAAAGTAGTACACAAGCCTATAAAGTTTGAGAATCAATGCTTTATAACTATATTCTAACTATACTCAACTATCAAAAAAAAGTTAATAAAAAAAGACTACCAACACTCATTATAAAAACCATTTGCATAAAAACAGAATGAAGTAATAAACTGTGCTACCATTTTAGCTTTTTGATTTCATCAACACTCATGCAAGAAAACTGATGTAAAGAGACTTAAATCTTGTAATTATGATACATTTTTAAATTATTATAGATACTGCCAAAAATATGTTTTAAATTTAGCTAGTCTTCACAAAATGTTATTTAGTTGTTTCATAAAAAAAATATTAACAGTATCATATCACACAACAGCCACAAGTATAAAACTTACGGCTGCAAGACTTCCCATTCTGTGAAAGTTCATAGCCAATGCTACAGACACAGCGATAACCGAGACCATATTCCTCTGCACTCCGAGTCACAACACACATATGTTCACAACCTCCATTGTTAACACCGCATGGATTGGTCACTTAAAAAAAAAAAATCCATATGAAGCTCATGATCATCCTTTGGTCATTTTTCACATATCCTATAAATTTTAACATTTGTAACTGCCTAAATATATTTCTATAATGAACTTGAGGAATCTCTAATTTATGAAACAAGTTGTCAATTTCTTTCAGGTGTCTACTCAAACTTTACTAGGAAACGTTAAGCTGTTTGGTAAGTTTTACAAAGTATCTAATAAAACCACAAACATTTTTTAAATTGTTTAAAATGTTTATTTATGATAATTTGGTCACTTAATGATATCTCACAGACAATTTTCATTATTTTAATAATTTTTCATAATAGAGTATGGATATTTAATAAATCCACGTGAAAATGTTTTCGAAGATAACCGATGTTTCAGTTATTGGATCATCTACATTGTTGATTCATGAAATCTCATGAGACTCTTTGGGTTACCAAAGAAATGTTAGTGAATTAATAATACCTTCCAATGGAATTATGTTTTAAAAACCCCTAAAGTGTGACATTTCTTAGGTAAAGTATACATCATCTCTAAACTTATAAGAAAGGTTATTATTATTATTTTCCTGCATTAACCAAAATACATTATGTGTGCCTTTTCTACATGAAATTACTTTTAGCATGTTGAGCAAAGAATTTACAAAAGTGTGTAACTGACAAGAACTACCTGGTGGTTGGCGAACAGGGTGGTATGACTTAATAGCCTTAGGCTCCTTGAGAAGTGTACGATCACGATAAATTGGTTCGACAATTTCAGAATTGTTGAAAAGGTGAGTTCGTAAAATGCCCTGTCTAGTTCCATCAGTCCAATAGACATAGTTCTCAAACACTGTCAGCCTACTGGGAGAAGGGACCTTGGTACTACCTCTAATGATAGCATGCCTGGAAAACAAACACCAACCTTAATGTTCACATGCTCTTATAATAAAGTATATTTACAACACCTGATATCAGCTTCTACACTGTCTCACATTTCTACTCAGCACATTTTTAAAATTAGAGCTGCTACTTAAAATTGTTAATTCTTCCTGTAGGATAGAAACAGTTACTGTATAACAATAATATTGAGTGATAAAAAACTTGCAACAAAAAACCCAGCATTCCAGCCCATGTTTATATTTAGTTGAGATGAAATATGAAAGAGTGGCAATACAACTTCTTAGAGCAGCATAACCAGAATCTAACAATCAAACAAATCCATATTACAAAACAAAATCTTGTATCTAAATTTTTGAAATATTGATAAATGATAAAAAACAACCAAAATATTAGCAAATAATGAGCAGTAATCAAAGTAAAATAAATATTGTAAAATTAAAAAATAAATAAATAAATGCAGCTATAAAACTAAGATCTTTATGTTAACTTAATGAGCTAACTTTAGGCTTCTATAAGTTTAATATCAGTGTATAGAAATAAATTTCAGTTTAATACATAAATTTATTACTTCGTCGGCTATGTACTTTCACCCAAAACTTTTCAGTGAATGATACAGTGGAGAGGAGGACTTTATGAATAACAGTAGACTAAATCATTACTCAATCATGGAATAAAACTGGTAAAAGCAGAATTTCTCTTGGATTATAAAATGGGAAGATTGCTATTCCCAGCATTTCTTACAGTATTTTTTTTAAGGTTTGCACAACTTTTTCAAAGTTGACTATAAATGTTATGAAAAAAATTAAAAATTCTGTACAAAAATTTAAATTAATAAAAAATAAATCCAATCCAAAAAACTATTCAATCAGATAATTAACTAAATAAAAAAGTTAGCAACAACAATGCAACCCAAACGAATATTTAAAAAAAAATTATGAACTTCAGACCAAAGCAGGCCCAATATATAGCTGAAAATAAAATCATTAAAAACAATGTATATAAAATAAGCAAAACAATTCAAAAACACATATATGACAACCTGGTATGACAAACTAACTAGAATTACACTTCATGATATGAAGTAATATATCGGAAAATCAAATGCTATAATTATTGGTCACACTGGTTCAGACTGGTAGCCACACTGTTAACAATATTTTTGGCCTTGGACTTAGATACAAAATAATTCATGCCTGTTTTTTCCATCATAGTCGACAGCAACTATCTGGTCCAGCTGCGAGTCACACCAAATAAGCCATTTGTTAATGTAATCAACAGTAAGGCCAGAGGCTTTGTAAATCAATGAGTTGACAATCGATTTCCTGTTAGAACCATCCATGTGAGCTCTGTCAATTTTATCAGCATCACTGAAGAACATCAACCTAGACCAATCCAGAAAAAAGATATTGCACTTAGTAATAAAACCTTATAAGCTAGGTCTCACTATTAGGCATTAATATGCTTAATAATTATGAAGTAACTTCTGATAAAACTAACATACTAAAACAAGATACCCAAACTTTTACACTGATATATACACCAGGAAAAAAGTTAAGCACCCCCGTGTTTTTTTCAAGTG